AAGTGTTAGAAAGCTGACATTTTGCAACCTCTAATGACGCAGTAGATTTAGGCAACTGTCAACAGCCACAAACATAAAGAGATGTAACCAAACATTACCCATCTTGTAGCTGAAATGCATGGCATTGTGTACACTTCTCATACACTCACACCTGACACTGATTAAGCTTTAAATCAAACCATTAATTTATAACGCAAGGGCAAATAGAGATACCTGTCGAATTACCAGAGAATAAAATAAGCAAATTCCAGACTGTGGGAAATACCATGAAGCAAACAACCAGGCAGGTTTCCTCTACAAATGAACTGCCATATGAAAACAGAAAACAGACAGAGAAGGGAAAGCCAGTACATTAAAAGCTACGTATAGGACATATTGATCGCAACAAACAGAGCTTATTTGCATCCTGATTTAGATGGACTATCTTAAGACTGGAAAATTTAAACAGAGTTTAATGCTGCCTGGATAAAGAATTAATGTTAATTATTTTTAGATCAGGGAGTGTGTCACGATTATATCTGTTAACAGAATCTTCATCTTTTAGACACATTTTCTGTTGTGTTTCTGAATGAAATCAAATGACAAATAAGGTTTACTTCAAAACAACTGAGTGGCATGGGTGGCGTGGGAGGTGTGGCAGGGGTGGGCAGAACACAGATGACCTAAGACTGAGTTGACAACTGTTAAAAGAGGGTGATGGTGGCCCTCCCTGGTGGCGCAGCGGGTTAAAGCACAGCACTGAGAATCTGAAGCCACTTCCGTATGAGTTCGATTCCCGCCTGCCGCCTGCCCCGGAGGAGACCACATGGTGAGTGAGACCTCTCCTGACCCGCCCGCTGCTCCCCTCAGCAGTGTACTTCGTCGATCTGCCTGTTCTGCTCCCCACTCTGTCTCTGGTGAAGCCTCTCACCGCCCCTGAGCCTCTGGCCTGTACCCCAGTTCTGTATGAATAAATAAATAAATCTTAAAAAAAAAAAAAAAGAGGGTGATGGTTATGTGGGATGATTACACCATCATCTCTCCTTTATTTATGCTTGGAAATGTCTAGTGAAAATTTCCACAATAAAACTGTAACAATGTAACTCATCGATCCCACTCATGATAAGTTTTTAAGGAAACAGTGGTGGCTTCTGTCCTGGCAAGGCCCTGTCTACTCAAAGCCTTCCTTCAGATGGATAAAACAGCATAGACATTTTCCAGGGACACCTCAGTTGTAGATAAAGATCATCACGTTAAAAGGAATGCTGGTTGAAAGCAAGAACATGGTGCAAATTCCATGACCTTGCTACTGTGAAACTTTGTGTTTTCCTCAAGGTTCTAATTCCTCTGACACCTTTTGCTACACACACACACACACACACACACACACACACACACAACATCACTATCAATCTCCCCTTTGAAGAATTATTAATAAATGGGTGACTGACATTCTTCATCCAAGGCCATGTCATTTAATTTTACTTTCTGAAGTGGGATACTGTAAAAACTTGGTATTACATTAAAATAGTCAAACTGCTTGGACAAGTAGCAAACACTCTTCCCCACTTAAGAATCCTTTCTCGAGTAAAAGAGTTCTCAAAATTTAGTATGATCTGTATAGATGGGAGAGCAGAGAACTTATAGCAAAACAGATCACTGGGTCCTACTCCCATTATTTCTGATTCAAGTCTGGGTAAGGGTGCAAGAATTTGTCTTCAACAAGTTCCCAAATATTCCTGATACTACAAGTCTGAGGACTCACAACTGAAAATTATGGTCCCAGAATATCTAAGAAACTTTGAGTCTCTGCTGCCTCTTAGCTTTTCCCCCCTCTAAGAAGGAAGTCCCCTGACACGTTCCATAAAAAGTTTCAAGATCTGCCCTTTCTCTAACTTATCCCTTTGGACTCTATCATGCCTTCTAGTGGATAATTATTACATCAACTTTTAAACTTACCCTTAAGTCATAGCTATTCAAAAATGTTCCCATGAAGCTCGAGACAGCATTTCGGCATCTATCTACCCTAAAAATAATCAGACTAATTTGGTGTCTCTTTCCTCTTCTCCCCTTCTTTTCTTCCTCCACTTCTCTGAGCAAACAGGCAAGAGGAATAAAAATGATCATAAAAAAATTCCTAATATGTGGTTTCCATCAGAACATAATTTCTTAGAGTGATCCTTTGACTTTATTACAAGCTTTCCTTTCCTACCAAGTCGTGGGCCTTCACCAATATTATTTGAAAATAACAAAGTCTGATATCTAGTAATATTCATAGAATTCAAAGTCCTGCCACAGGGCAGGCATTCAATCCATTTTTGTCAAATGAAATACTTCAATCACAGAATCTTAAGCGACAACGGTGGCTCTGGGCCTATGTGATATGCAGGCTGTTACCACCGAAGCAGCTCTGGTAATCCAGACCTCAGGACGTCCACTCATTCTGTGATTCTACCCCTGGCTTACTGTACCCCTAAACAGTTTATCAAAAGTGGTCAACAGGATCTAAAGTGAAATAGTAAGTCCAATGGTAGCACAGGGCTATATAGCTAAACAATTATTATAAAATTATCAATTAAAGAAATGTATTTACTATTAAAAAGAATTTGTGAACACAGCATTTTGTTTTAGATGCCTTTTCCTATTTCTTTATATGAAGTGTGTAGGAAGAGTTTCCCATTCTAGAGAAACTCACAAAAAGCCTAGGAAATTCAGAAATAGAGAAAATCCTGACAGGGTTAGTTCTCTGGCACTAAACAGATACTCCTAAATGAGAAATTCACTGTGTTCTCCTGCCCCATACTAATATTCCATGGTCATACTAAAATATTGAAGCCATCTAAAATTGTTACTACCAAGGTCACCTTCAGAAGCTGTTCCTTCTATATGCAGCTAGATTAGGGGGCCGGGGAGAAAAACCCCGTACCTACTTACTTTGTTCCAAGAACTGTTTTACTATTTACAATTGCTAGTTCAACATTACTCCTCTGAGAGAGACATTATTTCCATTTAACGGCCAAAACTGGAGATCACAGAAGTCTCGTGTCTCTGGAAAACCAGCAAGTCCAGATGTGAACCCAAACGTATCAGACACCAAGGCCGTGATTCATCCACAGAGTTAAGTTCATTTTTGTCGAGAGTTCCAGCAGCTCTGTCAGCACTCACAGGGCTCAAGAAGTTTGACACACGATTATAACCTCTATCATCCACTTCTACATCTTCTAAAAATAGAAGCTGTTCTCTTCCTGCTTACTTCATTTTGGCTCACATCATCAACAGAAATATTTGTAACACCAGGAGAAATCCAGTGAAGAAAGCATTTTGACCCACGTCTCGGTATATCTTTAAAAGCTGACAAGTAATAAAGCGGGAAGCAATGTCCATTAATTTTTGTGAGGTCACAAATGGTGACTTGCCTGGATATTTCCCTTAATATAAACACCCAAGTCAATATTCCTAGCTCTCTGGTGTCATGCACATTCTAAGACTGGAGTCTCCTGGAGTCAACCAGTAGCCGTCCTAGCCCAGAGAAGGCTGGGTGGAAATGACACCAGCACCAGCACCGGCTGAGGGGCTGTCTTCTGAGAAAGTAACATTAAAACTAAGAAGCTCAGACAAAAGCAGTATTTTTCCTAATTTATGCATTATCATTGACGATGCCTTCCCGTCCCAAAGGCATTCGTGAAGGAGTTACAGGAGGCAAAGACTCTGAAATAAGAACTTGCCTGCTACTGCCATTTGTGGTAAAACCCTTCCACACTGGCAATTTAAAATCAACCCTGTACAACACATTGAATAGAAAAAACTAAATGTAAGTCAACTTCCTTAACATTCTCTTACACCCTACCAAACACGGCAAAAGCCAGAGCTCTGACGATGTAGTTTAAATGTGGGGTGATACTGTCCCGTGCTGGACATCCATCCAGAGCCCAAGTATGATTTTTTTCTTTTTGAACGGCAGCAGATGTTAACAGTTATGCTTATCAGCTCCTAGAGTTCACTCCTGCTTGAGCAGGATGACACACTTGGCAGGGTTTTGACAAAGGCTAGCCTACGTCATCCCACTATCGGTCAGAGGGCCACACATCCAGATTCCTCGCGTACACTTGTCAAACTCATGAGAGGTGTCACTTGTGTTTGGATAGCAGCGTCCATCACCACAATAAGTGACAATACAGATAATGATACCCTCTTTGTCACCATCCCCAAAGTTTAATTACATGCCCTTGTAATTTACTTGGAGGGAAAAGATAATACATATACTAAAACAATTTTGGAATTATATGCACGGATAAATAGCACTTATCTTTTTTCCTTATGTTAAGTCATTGCTATATTCTTTTTTTAGAGCGCTTAACAATTGTGTTGGAGAAAGGACATCAAATGATGCTTAGAAATGTGATACACATTTTCATTTCACACTCCATCAGCTTTTACAACTGTAGCTCAATGAAATGTAAGAGAGAGCTTGGCAAACAGCCATATTTACCAAGGTATAAAATAGGGGTCAGGTTACTTTTTTTATAGAAAGAAAAAAATGTTTAATTTTCACTCCACATGACTAAAGCAGACATTCAGCTAACACCCTAGAGAAAGGCACCATAACCTCATATACTGACATGCTTTAGTGCCTAATCTATGGTAGGTTTTTACCATATTATAAACAACTCCCCGAAGCAAGGAAATATTCCTTTCCTCACCCCCTTCCACTCCGAATCTACTGACACAGAAATATACCGGATCAGATCATTCACGGTGTTAACTCTTTCACTGAAAAACACCGGCTTTTGCCCTTTGCTTTTGGTAGAGAAGCAGAAAAGGGCTTATTCCCTTCATAAGCAGAGAAGCAAAGCTACAGACATCAGCAAAAACACATCTTTCTAATTCGGATTTCAATCTGTCAGAAAGGATTAAGGTCGCCTGCATACAGAAAAAGGGAACCGTAAATGATACCAGGAACGTGGTCAGGAAACGGTGGCTGTTTCGCCAGCGGGGTAGAGAGGAAAGTGTTTCTCACTCACCTCTGTCAAACCCGAGACCTCGCCCTTTGCTAGCGGTTTGCTGATGGATGGTGTGTACACTTCGGCGTCTGATACCGGTTGCCCTTTCAAAAAATGTTTTCCTGATTCATAAATATCCACTTCCACCATTTTCCCCATGAACGAGGGGTTCTTTGGCACTAAAACCTTAAAAAAAAAATCAACAGTTTCATTTATGTAAGTAAACTTTTTACTATAGACTAGCTTTAGATTTTTAGAAAGACTGCAAAGACAGCACAGGGAATTCCTCTCTATTCCACACCCAATTTCCTTATCATTACACACTTTACATGTGCACAAAACACTTGTCACAATTAATGAGCCAATATTGATATGATATTGTTAGCTAAAGGTGGTACATTTTTCAGGTTCCCTCTGTGGTCCCCTAATCCTTTTTTCCTGTTTTGGAGTCCAATCCCAAGTCGGTTCTGTCTTCCAGGTGCGCACGGGTCTGGGAACCTGGTAGGGAGTGAGGGTAATGTGGGAGAGAGACCCAGCCAGAAGTGTGCTCTTTTGTTGCGGGATGCCCGCTACCTAGGGCCCGTGGAAGTCATACCTGGGAAATCCCAGCCCTCAGCCACTCACATCCCAATGGGCCTTTGAGATTCTGCTCCTGGTGGCCCCATGCAATGAAGAGAACTGAGACAACCAAGAGAAGTCCTATCCCTTCAGTACCTTCCAAGTTAGCTGTGAGAATAACGGTCTGAGGAGATAGTTCACCTCACTCCCTGTGTGTGCAGAGTGGGTGTTTGGAGGGAAAGGAAGAATATTTAAAAGGAACCTTTTGGCATCCCCAAAAGTGGTATTTGAAGCTAACTGGCTGCATTAACTTTGTGGCTGCATTCAATTCTTTCGCTTTGTTCTAAAATGCACAGAATTGTTAGTTCCACCCCCACATACACTGACTACTCTGAAGGCGACTTCACAGGGAGCTGTGGGATGGTTTCTTTTCCCTCAAGATTTCTGATAAAAGTACTTATTTACCTTGAGCAAATGTTTCCCCTCCTTCGGGACTCAGAGGCACTCTGCATGTATTATGTCTCCCTTACACTTCTATTTTAGTGCTGGAGCTACTTGCCAATCTTTTTAAGTAAGGATCCAAAATAAATAGACTAATTCTAATCCAGCAATACTTTGATATCTAGATATAATCTTCACTTCTGGAACTCATCTCATTTAGAAAAATAATTCCTATGAAATCTTTGATATGTTTAGTTGTAGAGACCAAAAGGAAAAAAAAAAAAAAAGCCAGAAAAGAGCCAGAAGTTCTTCAGCCAGCTTCTCTAAAATTGGACCGTTGTCTTTGAGTTTGATTTTTATGACCACTCAGTACACTGCTTCATCACAATATAGGAAAAAGGTCACCTGGGTGGTGAATTACTCATGGGAAGCAAAGGAACTAAAAAGAGCTTTAGTATCAGGATATGAAAGCCCTTTTAACTCAGTTTTTATAAAATAAGAAAATCTCTAGGGTAAACGGTCCCTGGGAGACTTGGTACTATTCTGGGGGAAAATCACTCTCCTTGATCTGCTGCCTTGATCTGAATGAAGGGCTCACTGTTTTTTTCCCCCTCCGGTTTTAATAATTGGAAAAACCCTGACTGCTTTAAATTGGAGGAAACAGCTAATGAGGCATGCCATTGCCTTTAAAATGAAGGGAAAAAAAGTTCCCTGCTGAGGCAAAAACCCAGATGGCAAGAGAAAGGAGAGGGAAGAGGCAACCAAAATACTTGAATCAAACTCTTCCCCAGGGCTGAGCAGAAGGTTGGCTTGAATAGGAAAATGGCTCTCTGGAGTCAATTAATGGGATGGAAAATGGGGAAGAGACTCAGCTCAAACATGGGGACCTGGGAATCCTGCCTCAGCTGCAGTCTCTACTGGGTACGGAACAGGCATGCTTGGTCTGGGTTATGTCCATCCCTACCCCCAACCTGCCCAGGCCTCCCTCCCTCTGCAATGATTCCTGAGGACCTGGTGTCCTGTCTGGATTATTCCAGATGGATCATCAATGTCTTTTCAATGACTGCGTCCTGATTTTCAACATAGTCAGACACCTTTCCTGGCCCATCCTTTATCTGACTTGCACTTTTTTTTTAAGACTTATTTTTATTATTTATGCATATAAGAGCTGGGATATAGGCCAGAGATGGGGGGGGGGTGAGAAGTTTCAGCTGAGACAGAGTGGGGAGCAAAACAGGTGGACTGACTGAAATACACTGCTGAGGGGAGCCGCGGGTGAGACAGGAGAGGGCAACCGTGACTTATGTGGGTCAGCTCCCTGGCCAGGGATCGAACTGAGGCCACAGTGGCTGGCACTAGCTCTACAGCACTGAGACTATCACCCCTGTGCCAGCAGGGAGGCCCTCTGACAGGTTCTGAAGGACCTTCCCAAGAACTAATTCCCATCATGGCCCATGGAGAAACCTTTCTTGTCTCATTTGATGAAAAAGCAGGTACAAATAATGTGATATTAAGGGAAAATAATAAAATTCAGGAATGATCGATGAAAATCCCCCCACCCTCAAGAGGCTCCTGGCCAGAGAACACTGCACGCTTTTCCTTGCCTGGGCTGGTGGCCCTCAAGAACACACTCCTATTCTTCAAGATGCTTTTGAATTGCTTTACCACCCGGGAAAAATGGAATCCCAAATGCTGAGACAGAGTCTGGGGGCTGGGCTAGAGAGCAACACATTAGCTTTGGGGGCACGAAAAGCAGCTAAGCAAATGGGGAGCCCCTTGGGTTGGCCTAGAGGAAGTGAAGTTGGCTTGATCCTCACACTGGTCTTTAGGGTTGTCCACACAGTATGGAGTTGAGCCCAAGGAAGAGGCTCTTTGCCTTTCCCCACAGTGTCTTTATCAGGTGAGAGTTCAAAAACAAAACACTAACATCAAACAAAACTAAAACACCAAGTGACCAACCTAGGACTGTGTGAGTGCTGTGACAGGGAGAGGAAGTCCCTGCCCTTCCATGTTGAGGTCGCGCGAGGCGAGCAGACACCCTTCCTGCCTCTGACCAGGACTTGCCCCTGCTCTGCGCCAGGCTGCGGAAAGTCTGGCAGTGATCGCTTGTGTCCCCAGCTCCCAGGAGCCTAAAGCTGGTCCTGCGTGAGATTAATGAGGACTACACTTACTTCGCTGTAGAGCATGCTGTGCAGACTAACCCACAGGGGGAACCTTGCTTTAGCAAGGGGCTACAACCTTCCCCTATTCCAAGTCCTTTTTATTAAACTGATATACTTTCAGAATGCCTCATTTTGAAGACAATTTAGGAGTCTGAAGTATCTCTTACTTGCTCGTAGAATCGATTGTGTGCAACATAAAACTTGGAATCAAAAGATTCTTCTGTCACTAACACTTGTTGTCTTTCACCAATCTGTGGAGAGAAAAGAGGAAAGGTGAGACACACACTTGAGAATCCGAAACAGATGCCAGCCCTACAGTAGAGACTAGATTGCCAGGCACAGCTAGTGCATGTATCACAGGTTCAAACTTCCGGAAAGACATCACTAACCATGTAGTAACATAAAATTAGCATAGTGTGGAATCTTATTTTCTTACATAAGGACAAAACAAAACTTGATCTTATTTCCTCCTTCAACATAAGTAAGATAATTAAGGCTTCTAAGACATACAAAAATCTTCTAAAATATCACTTTGTTTCTTGAAACAAAGTTGCAAAACAAGCTTGAACAAGCTGCTTCTAATCCAAATTCATGAAAATATTTTGGCAATATGAGAGAATAGTAATAAACATTAATTTGTGTTATGAGGGATGCAGCACTAAAAAAAAATGCCTCAAAAACTAGTCATTAAGTCCCTGCACCTAAACATTTCATGTGTTATATGTAATTCTGAAATTACTGACTAATTCACACAGCTACTTAGTTATTATATACATTTTCTCTGTCACCAGCAATTGCCGCTTTTTTTGTTATAGCCACGACCCTAAGTTCATTTTTTTTTTTTTAAGAGAAAGCTCACAAGAATGTGGGGCTGTTAATTCCCTATAGGAATGATCACAATCTATGATCCAACATGAATTTTTAATACCAAGAAGGTAGATCAGCCAAGACATTGGTTAAAGAAATGTGACTGGACTAAAAAATGCTACCATTTCCAAGTTTATTTCCCTGTGAAATGCTACACTTAAAAGTATCATTTACTTGTTTTACAAGGTTGTCAAGATGTCTGATGTAGCAAAGCAGCTGTGTTCAGTGATTACAGGAATGATTTTTGCCATTGCTACTTGATAAATACAACCCCCCAAATTAAAGCCCATTGGCGAGATTTTTAAAAAGTACCTCCTATTCTTATTATGTAAGGACTTGTCACCATGTTCAGTTACCATGTAGACATAAACACAGCTGCACTAAATGCAACACCTAATAATTAGAAATGAAAATATTAAAGCCCCTCTCCATCATATAACACCATTGCATCAATATACCATAATTTATTATCTAATGTATCACCTCATTTAAATTGAAGCCACACAGAAACCCCTCAGCCAAAGGTGGTAAGGTCTCTGAGAAGACACTTATCAAAGACTTATGTCAGTCTCTGAAGACTAGTTCAAAGTCCCTGCAACATTAATCTCTCAAAACTAAAGAAGCAAAATAAAAGAAAGTTTCCCCCAAATCTTCTTTCAGTTTGAATGGCTCTGTTTATTAACAAGGAGTGATGAATATTGGGGTTTGCTGAAGTATTCTTCTGGAAGAAAGCTTAGAATGTTTGCACACATTTCACAGTATGAGTTGCTTGTAACTTACGATAAGTATCTGTCAATGGTTCTTAAGGAAATCTGCAATTACACTTCATCTAACATTAAATTTTCAGGAAATTAGCAACAATGCGAGATTGTAGAGGCACTGAAAACGTTAGTTACTTCTTTCCTCTTGTCACAATTAATTCGGACAGATGGGAGTCATCATTTTGGGCTATTCTATTTTATCTGGGAATAATGATGATGACAACAACATACACACACATAGTTAGAAACACTTGCTATGTTTATCTGGTTGAAGGCTGCACCTTCAATCAGAACTATTTGTAGATGAGTATTCAACTATTGTTTGCAAAAAGGACTCAGGAGAACAGCTATATGGAGTGATTTACAGTGGCTACCACCTGTGTAGTCACCCTTCTTGTCTCCTTGGTAACAAATCTTATCTATTGGTGAACTCTTAAAGCTCTCCAGAGAATACTGGACAAAGATGAACACGAGAAATCTAGGACTTGGATCGAAAATGCTATAAGCTACCCCAGCCCCATAACAAAACAGCAAAAGCTAATTAAAGTTCCTCATTATTATTTTTATGAATTAAATTGCATTAAAACACATTTTGAAGGTGAAATACAATCTCTATGAGAACCAACTACTTCAAAGAAGCTTAAAATCAATGATGAAATTAAGGAAGGGAAGCGTTCACACAAAACTCTGAAAGAGACAACTTTGCTTTGGTGACAATAAAGGATCTTAGGAGCTCAGTGTGTGGATATCAGCCTCAAGTGTCTTTTTTCAAATGAGTCACCCTCTTTTGCACGATTTCTCCCCATGATCAACCAGTGTGGCTAAAAGACCCACACAGAATAAAACTTAGAGGAATCATCCTGATTGTCTATATCTCAGCAATGCCACAATCACGAAACAAGTCCTCAGCTCAGAGGAAGGAAATGGCTCACAGAGCAAGATGCAGAGCACATCGTCTCATCAGTTATTCCATAACATCTACACTTACCTGACAACCTGACCAAGTCAAGTAACTAGAACATTCCAGGTCAGGAAGAAAGGTAAAAGTGATTTGGAGGAATTAAGAATGGTGAAAGTTCTAAGAAAGGGTTACTCAGAAATATCACACATTGGATGGACAGTAGAATACTAAGCTAGGGGTCTGGGAAGCTTCTTTTCAAGATAAAAGAGATTTGACACTTCACTTTTTCCTCATTTAAAACTTGAGAATTTGGTAGAAATGACATGGGAATGGGAAGAGTGGTTCTAAAATCCCGAGTTCATGCTAGATGTGTCGGTTAGGGGCTGGTCTGCCTACAAGGGAAATGAGGGAAATACTGAATTCAGACTGATGCTTTTCTTACAGTAAATATGTGCTTAGAGCCCTTTGCAAATTACAGCTACTTTCTTGTTGCACCGAAGTTAACAGCAATCTAATCTTCGGTACCCAGCCCAAGAACCACCTGCAAGTCTCAAACAGCTGTCCGGCAACTTGAATCTCCTTACATTAAGACATCTGCCAACATCTTCCCAACAACACCCTTTTTAGTTTCATAATCCAAAGAAAAAGTTCCCTTTCCATTCGCAGTGTGCTTCATAGGAATATCATTTGTAGTGACTGAATGCTTGTTTCATTTCTTGAACTTTGCATGGGAAAGCAAGTGCTCTTACAGCAATACTGTGGGAAACTTGGTTTCCATTTGCAAAGTCTGGCTATCAGGAGAATTGTTAGGACTTCTGTAAGTATATGTAAGTCCCATAGTTGATTGGAAAAGCCAGGCACATTTGTAATTTGTTCATTAAATGTTGGTAAAGAAAGTAATTTCTCTGACAATGTGCAGAAATTCATTTAATACATTTTAGTCTTACTCTAAAGAGATGTTTTGGGTAACATGAATTATAAAAATGGTCTTGTATTGTAAAGCCATCCTCCGTTTCACAGATTGGGGTACCAACGTGTGGGAAAGTGCAAGTGCAGGTCCCCACTAACCCCCCATACTGCACTACTGGTGATCTCACAGAGCCATTAGATACTGTAGTCTCAAAGGAAAGTGTGGTACAATTTTCTAGATATTATTGAAAAGCTGTAAAAAAAAGCTCGCAAACTTAGTTGAGCCCTCAAAGGCAGATAAATAAAGGTGGTTTTCCCCATAGCCAGACAAAGAGGGTAAGAAACTAAAGGGGGCTTAGCAATCTCTGATTTCATAGACAGCAAACTATAGTCCAGCGAGGTGAGGTGATTTGCAAAGAGCTTGCAGAGGGGTAGAGGGGAGCAAAAAGCAATCTCGGAGCCACTACCACTATTTGATGCCTTCTACCTAATATTCTGCTCTAGAAAATGTACCCCATGAATCTACTGTGTAGACTTCTCCTTAAATAGAGAAACATCTGCGACAAACAAAACACAGTGATTTTTTTACATTCAATTTTTGGGTAAAATGTTCACTATGTTACATAATCAGCTAGTTGTGTTATTTGTGTCACATCTAGGCTTAAAATTTCCCAAGTGCCTAAAATTGTGAGAAACATCAGTTCTAACCATATGGCCAGATAACACGCAGAAAACAGGCATTTGCATTAAAGAAGCAGTGGTTTCCAGCAGGATTTGGCTGCTGAATGAATGCTCATTCATACACATGTATTCTCTATTTATCCTAAAGAAACAATATTCGGCATGACTGTGTGAGGATTTAATGAAAGAAGTTGAAAATAAATGAAGGCAGAGACAATAAAGAAATTGCACAGGGGCACTAGGATAGTTGGGCTTTTTACCTTTAACCCAGTCAGCGAAGTTACTGGTAGAAACACTGGCTGGACTGGAAGAAGCAAAAAGTTTCTTGTAACCTCATAGGGGACTTTGACTTTATGTAAAGTTTACTTGTTACTATTCTCCCAATCCCCACTTGTCACTTACATTTTACTTCAATGGAAAACCTGAGCTAGAGCTGTATAAGTAACTTCAAATCAGTTTTCCTCTGAAGGGGTAGGTTATAAACTTCTAGTTATCAACTGCTCAGAGTACCCAAAAAATCACTCACAAAAGACAGATAGATACATATCTAAGGACCTGTGTAGGAGAAACATTTATTCCTTGAAAACAGCTGTAAGATGACAAAGAAATTATCTTTCTTTCCCTGACAAGTTTCTAGCAACTACCTTTATTATCCAAATGCCGTAGGAAAAAACCCAGAGGTTAAAACACACACATATCAAAAGATTTCACAATTATTAATATCACATTCTTAATAAACTTGAATTTTATCTCTGTTTATCCTACAAAATATTCTGACATGCTACTGCAGCTATTTTTTTTTTTAATTGTAGATAATAAAATACGATTTTTCTACCTGACTGGTTTCTGAATGCATGACTCTGGGAAATGTCAAATGTCTTTCTTTAGCTCCAGTCAAATTAGTTTTTTTTTTTTTTCTCCTAAGCTGCCTGGAACATGTTAAACACAAGGCTGTGACCTTAAACTCTGAAATAATATTTCTAGTGTCTGTGCGAAAGCCTGCCCTCACATACACCTTTAGACTAATTACTGCAGTGTAATGTTGCCAGTGAACCACTGTAATTACACTTGGAGAAAAGTATGGTCTTGTTCTTTCCTAGCTAATGAAAATGATAACCTTTCCATTTTGATT